TGCGGGTCAGACTGGGGTGACGGGTCGGGGCCTGAGTCCGTCTGTCCTTCCTCCTCCTCGTTCCTCCTCCAGCTCTGACAGGGCTCCCCAACGAGGAGCAGGAAACCAGGAAAACCGTCCCCCGGCCCCTTGTAATCCTGCTTGGAAATGTTCCCCTGCCCCCAGCACTGAGATTCCTGCCAGGACTCCTGGCTTCATTCCCCAGCTTTGAAAGAGGAGTGGGGGTGTAACAGGCTAGCGTGGAGGGTCAGGTGGGAGCCAGGACTCCTGGTTTCTATCCGAGGCTTTGAAAGGGAAGTGGGGGTCTAATGGGCTAGAGTAGGGATCACTGGGAGCCAGGACTCCTGGGTTCATTCCCCAGCTGTAGAAGAGGGGTGGGGTATAGTGGGTTAGAGCAGAGACGGTGGCAAATGAGGACTCCTGGGTTCTGTCCCTGGCTCTGCAGGAGGAGTGGGGTCTAGTGGTCAGAGCAGGGGGGGCTGGGAGTCAGGGATGAGGACTACTCGGCTGTCTTCTTGGTTCTGACCCTGAATCGGACACGTCCTTTTCCTGCCTCAGTTTCCCTATTTTTTAGATGGGGATAATATAACTTTGCTACCATCTAGGGCCATGGCAGGGGTGGCGGAAGGGGTTCTGAGGTTTAACTGATGTTTCTACGTGAAAGCTCTGGGAAAAAAAAGTGGGCAAATTTCTTTCTTTCTTTCTTTCTTTCTTTCTTTCTTTAAAAACCATTACGTTCGCTTAATGAATGTAACCCCCCCCCACACTCTGGACAGGAAAGAGTTAATGCTCATGGGATCACTGGCTGCACAGCCATCAATCAAATGGCTTAACGAGCATCAATCATATTCTTAAGAAGAGAATTGACACGATCAGCGATGAAAAGCGGGCCGAAGTCGAGAGTGGCTGAGCTAATGTTACTCTGAGAGGCAGGGGCCTCGAACAGAAAGTTGGGGGGAGTGTGACAGGTTCGTTCACCCCAAAGCCAGGCAGAAACCCCTCTTTAGAGCAGCGGAATTCTTTTGTTCGGTCTAGACAGACGTGTGGGATTTTGTTTGCACGCACAAGTTACACCCCAGATCGCCACCTCAGCAGCTGACAATTTACTCCAGCCACAGACACTCAGGCAGTAATCAGACTGTCTGCGGTTTTGAGGAAGATACAAATAACCAGCTAGATGCCTTTCCCCACACAGCGAGTTAAAGGGAACTGGGCAGATTTGCTGCAAAAGCAGATGGAATTTCTCCAAGATCTACCTGCCCATACGTTCAGTGAGGAGACATTGGTGGTAACAACTACCACAGCGCCACCTCGTGGGTCCTGATGGTATTTCTCCCCCGGGCACTGCCTGGGGAGGGGTGGGGAGTCGGGGTTTGCACTGAGAAGGGATTTTTCCAACCACCAGGGAGTGCTCTGCAATGCGAGGGGTGTGAGTCCAAAGAGGAATTGTGCTCCGGCCCCACACAGCCCTGCGCCTCCTAGGAAGGGACCTGTGTCATCCTCACAGCCAGGTACAGCTGGGGTGAGCAAAATCAGATTTCTACTAAGCATAGATGCCATTGCCCTCCCTGAGCCAGAGACAGAACCCAGGAGTCCTGGTTCCCACCCACCCTGCTCTAACTACTAGCCCCCAGTCCTCTCCCAGAGTCGGGGAGAGAACCCAGGAGTCCTGGCTCCCAGCCCCTGCTGCTCTAACCCCTAGCTCCCGCTCCCCACCCAGAGCTGGGGACAGAACCCAGGAGTCCTGATTCCCAGCCCCCCTGCTCTAACCCACCAGTCCCCACTCCCGTGTCCAAGCTGGGATCGAGCCCAGCGTGCGGAGACTCCCCACCCCAGGCTGACTCACTCACCCCAGGGAGACTTGGACTCACTCCGGGCACCACCAAAAATTATACAAACCTGCCGCCCCTGGGCCCCGCCCCTTCTCTGCCTCTTCCCCAAGGCCCCTCCCCCTTCTCCACCTCTCCTACAGGCCCCGCCCCCTTTTCAGTCTTTTCCCTCGGGGCCAAGCCCCCTTCTCAGCCTCTTTCCCTGGTCCCGCCTCCTTCTGCACCTCTCCCCCCCATCCAAAAGACTGGACACGAGGCCTTTGCAAATGGCACGAGGCCACACAAGCCAAAACCTGGGACTGTCCCATTGAAAACCGGCCAGGTGGCCACCCAATGCCGCTGCTCGGGGCATTTGCTGCAGTGAACAGCCCAGCAAAGCAGCTTGACAAAGCCTGCCTCAGTTTCCCTTCTCGGACTGTTCAAATAAAACTTCCCTTCAGGCTTTTTCTTGGGCAGAAATACCCCTCCTTGGGCACTGGGTTTCTTAATATAAACCCACTCAACTATAACCTGCAAAAACCCCTCCCAATAAATATGTAATAATTAGTCATTAATATGTGACAAAGTGGGGGATTTTCTTGTTTGTTTTCTTGTTTTCGGTGGGTTTCCAATGGTTTGCATGCAGAGGGGGTGGGACTCAGTTTCCCTGGGTGTTACTGGTTTAACGAGGGGAGAGGAGAGGGAACGTGGGACCCCAGCCAATGGCCTGGAGGATGGACACACCAGCGACCGGTGACCTGAGACCCCGACCCGGAGACCCAGCTCAGGAGATGCAGCCGGTTCTGGCCAGTGGGAGGACAATGGGCTGCAGAGTGAGGACCCAGTGACCGAACCAGCCGGTTCCAGCCAGAGGAGAGAAGCGAGGAGAGGAGGCCCCGGTTTACGACCCTGTTTACCTGGAGAGAAGACAATGGACAGAGGCGGGGCCTGGGGCCGGGGATCTCAGATGCCCAGCTGGGAGCAGGGGGCTCGGGGCTGGAGAGGGGGAGCAGGCAGAGCCCCCCTGGATGCAGGGAGACTGGGATGTGCTGGGCTGAGGGAGGCCAGGCCTGAGGGTCAGAGAGTTTCCTGTGCTGGGTTCAATGCTCAATAAACCCTCCTGTTTCATGCTGGCTGAGATTCACTCCGGTCTAGAGAACAGGGTGGCATCAACCCCTTCGGGGGTGGAGGCCCCGGGGGTCCAGAGCGAGGGGACTCCCTGAGGGGGCCCACGGCAGAGACAGACGTGCTAAGGCTCAGAGAGGTGCGGCTCCAGGAGGTGGAGGGGCCTGACCCCGAGAGAGAGGACCCCCGAGAAGGGCTGTCGCACTGAAAGGGGCACCCCCCACAGACCGCACGGGGCCAAGAGTGGGCACGATCTGTGAGTCCGTGACATAATACAAACCCACTAACATAGAAATTGCAAAACCTAATTAACATTTATTCATTCATAATTAACATACATTCAATAAAAGAGCAGCTTCAGCGAGAATAATTAATATTTAATACTTAATATAAACGTAATACATTATAAACTGGAACAATAATAATTACTATAGATTCAATGAATCTTAAACAGCAAAAAATCCATTGGTAATAATTAATCATATCACTTCTAGCACATATAAACTGCAAACAACCCCCCACCCTCAGCCCGTAATCCTGCCCTGCGTCCACACACGGGGGGGGGTCATCCTGCCCCCCCAGACTCCTGTCCCGCCCCCCATCAGCAGCTCCGTGGCCAGCCCAGCCCCGGGGCACAAACACAACAACCCTTGCGTAAGGCTGGTGCCGTGATTTCACCACCCACAGCAGAGAGGTGAAATTGGGGGCAGGTTACACAACCAAGGCCAAGGAATTCCAGTCGCTGGGAAACAGACAGGGAGCCCGGACTCCTGGGTTCTCTCCCCAGCTCTGGGCGGGGATCGAGGGCTGGTGGTTAGAGCAGGGGGTGCTGGGAGCCAGGACTCCTGGGTTCTCTCCCCAGCTCTGGGAGGGGAGTAGGGTCTGGTGGTTAGAGCGGGGGGGGACTGGGAGCCAGGACTCCTGGGTTCTCTCCCCAGCTCTGGGAGGGGAGTAGGGTCTGGTGGTTAGAGCGGGGGGGACTGGGAGCCAGGACTCCTGGGTTCGCTGGGAATGGGCTGGGTACATT